GGCATCCACTGCATAAAACATATGCTGGATAAGTTGGTGGTTCATTCCGCTGTGGCAACCCTAGAATAATAAAGGGAATAAACTGAAAAGAAAATGAATGAATGAATGAATAAATGAATGAATGAATGAATGAAAGAATGAATAAATGATTTTGGTTCAATTCAAATTCATACATTTTCATACATTTTTATTGTAATTGATGGTTTTATGAAAAATCTTTTGTGGATTGGATGTTTCAATGGATCCAAATGTTCTTCTCTGTTGGAAATAAAGGTTCTTTATTGGCTCTGATGTTTCAATATAACTTTACAATCTGTGGAACCTCTGTGTTCTTTAGACATTCTTAAAAATAAACATTCTTTATTAGCATTGATGGTTTCATGATAACCTTTACCATCCATAGAACCTTTCCATGTTAGATTATTCAAACGGTTTTCTCGTTTAAAATGTGTGGTTCTCGTAGATTTTTTGCAGTGATGCTCTAAAAAAAGAAACATTTTGGACTCCCAAAAAACAAAAGGTTGTTTATAGGGACATCAAAAATCTTTTTTTTAGACCATCACTGCATTTTTTTTTTTTTTTTTTGGAATCCATATTCCTATTTGAAATGTTTTTATTATTATTTTAAAACTTTTAAGTTTAAGAAATGGGTTTTAGGAACTAAAGTTTTACATTCTGTAAATATCTTTATCCTTTTTAAAAGTTTTTATAGAAGCATTATTTAATACATGATATTTCCCCCAGAAGGGCACATTTAGAACAAGTTCATCAAAGGGGTAATTCACCAAAAATGAGAATTCAGTCATCATAACTCTGCACAAGTATATAAAACATATTTGAGAATTGGAGCTTGTTTGTGTATTCTACAGTAAAAAAAATTATATCATAAAACTGCGTTTCACGGATGAAATGCAAGCCTCATATGTTTGAATCGACATAAGGATGAGCAAATGTTCAAACAATGACTAAATATTCATTACTGGCTAAACTATCCCTTTTAAAGAAAAGTTTACAACATCCGTTTTAATTGTAATGGTAATATAGGGTGTTGTTGTGACCAGCTGCTCACACTGAACTTTTCCTGAACCCATGAGGACGAGGGCTGCTTATATCCCAACGTTTCTCCAGTGCCCTGTCTTTACCTCTTTCATAGGTGCTCAGTGGCTCGGAAGACTCTGATGCTGCAGCTCCACAAGACAACCATGTTGCCTTTGTTGCCATGGTGACTGGCCGTACATGGGTAGAGATGCTAGTACTACAAGCTATGCAAATACTGATCCTGCATTGTAATTCATACGTGTTAAGTTTGAGATTTTGGCATCTTGGTGTGTTTTGTAAAAATGACATATGAAGGCATACCTCGGTTTTGGGCTTCTCATAGCTGGAGTGGAAAAGAAGAGAAAATATAATATATCATATAGGCTAAGTAGATGTTGATTGATTTGATTTGGTGCAAAGATGACGTCCCACACTTCTGGTTCTGGTGCAGCACTTGCTCCAGCTGCTAGTTGTTCGGCAGCACACAGCTGTGTCTTTAAAACCTCTCCTTGTGCACAACGATGATATCATCCTCTAAAAACAGATTACGTCATCCCTTTCGGGACCCTTCTCATAGCTCCACCCTGTTCTACCCCCTGTTTTATTGGCCTTCACCGGCGCAGAAGCCCTCCTCGCTGTGCTTTTTATTGGCGGTGAAGTCACCGGTGTCTGTTTTTAATTGGTTTGCCGCATTTGATGACTGTGGTCTCCGCCACTGGAGCCCAAGACCTGTCGCGGGTAATTTGGTTTTTCGCAAGTCTTTCCTCGACGTCATAAAGATAGCTTATTATGATCCTTTCATGACTGGATGTAAAAAAATACGTAATTGCTAATTGGATAGCCTATTTTACGTCATATAGGCCTACACAAATTAAGTGTTTCATCATATGAATAATGGAGTGTCTAAGTGAATGGATGTTTGGTTGTTGCACACAGAGGCTATCTTTTTAAAGCTAACACGATAGATAGATAGATGATAGATAAATAGATAGATAGAAAGATAGATAGATAGATAGATAGATAGATAGATAGATAGATAGATAGATAGATAGATAGATAGATAGATAGATAGATAGATAGATAGATAGATAGATGGATAGATAGATGATACATAAATAGATAGATAGATAGATAGATAGATAGATAGATAGATAGATAGATAGATAGATAGATAGATAGATAGATAGATAGATAGATAGATAGATAGATAGATAGATAGATAGATAGATGTATCTTTTTAAGATAGGCTAATCAATTCTTAAATTAAAAAAAAAATGTTAAAGACTGCACTTGCAAAACCTTGACGACAACAAAACTTGTTTATTATCATCATATATATATATTTGTGAAAGCAAAAGCTGAGCTGCAATGTGTCCAAAACAAGTAGATATAAATGTAGAAGTAGATTAAGGTCACCAGCATCTAATAACAATGTTATTTTGGCGTCGAATAATGACATCAAATGACGCTGATATTTTGTTGATTTTAGGTTGTGTTGGAAAGTGACCAAAAACCAACATCGAGCCAACATCTTAAACAAGCATCATATTGACATCAAATACTGACATTTATTCATCAGGTATGGCAACCAAAATCCAACATCTGATAGACGTCATAGTGGTAATATCTACATAACATGATTAGATGATTAGACATTGATATTGTTTAGGTTGCTTGGGAAAGTAATCAAAATACAACATTAGTTCGACGTTGGACAATAGCGTCAGACTGATGTTGGGTTCTGGCGTCAACCCAATTTTTATTTTCAAACTAAATGCAATGTTCCATGATGGGGTACAATGTCAATCTGACGTCCTGTGCCTGCTGTGATTAATGAAATTAAAAAGGCCTGCTTGTTGTGTCCAGAATAGCATACTTCACACTATGTAAAAAACAGTATGTATGTTCAAATTCATAGTACAAAACCACCAAAATCAGTCTAGAAGTAGGCCTATCCGACCTACTACTTCAGCTAGGCCACTTAGGGAGTCTATGAATTTAGAAATGAAGAAAAGTACAGCTTGGTGGATATAGTGGCTGTGTCTGAAAACTTAGCCAGCTGACTTGTTGGGGGTAGTGACTTTGGAGGGAACGTTTGTGCATGAAGGCACCTCACAAAACTGATTTCAGACAGACTTCTGAATAACAATTTAATGATGTAGAACAAAATAGAGAGAACTTTGGTGATAACTACGACAATATTTGCAATAGGCCTTCTATATTCTCGCTAAAAATTACATCAAAAGTGGGGGAGAGTTGGTCAAAAACATAAATTTACACAAAAATAACACACAAGCAGAACTTTCAAATGCCAGCTTTATTTTTTAGTTCAAACTTCAGAAATGCACAGGGTTGCATTCCAAGTAAAGTAAAGTAAAGTAAAGTAAAGTAAAGTAAAGTAAAGTAAAGTAAAGTAAAGTAAAGTAAAATAAAGAAAAGTAAAGGTATGTGGAAAATGATGCACATTTAAATGCTAATGTATTTTGGACACATTTTTACTAAAATTAACTAAAATTCTCTACAAGTTGTCTACAGAATGCACAGAACCTCATTGGATGCAGTAGGCTAGGTCACCAGGGTGCGTTTTGCATACTGTTTTCACACGCTGTGTATCAAAACTACTCTTCCGGTGTTCTGTTGATTTGTCCTAACTTGTCAGATTGTCCTACCTCCCATTCAAGTCGGTAGCGCATTTTAATGATGCAATATGCTACCCATCAGATTTTGATTCAAGTGTAAATTTTAATGTTTAGAAGTTTGATATAAAGCTGTAATATTGCCCAACCCATCTAATCCCTAAACCCAAGCTCAAAACCATTCAACTACAGCATTGGCTGCAAAATCTGATGGGTAGAATATGTCAGAACACCGGCTTACTGGTTTTTGGTGATGGGATCTTGTTTAAAAACCAGTCAACTAGTTACAGTTCAAAAGACAAATATATTCAGCAGGAACGCTATTCAAAGTAATCTTTCCTCAAATTATATAATGCATGCAATACTTTCCAGGCGACGCGGTGGTGCAGTGGGTAGCTTTGTAGCTTTACAGCTAGAAGGTCGCTGGTTCGAGCCTCGGCTGGGTCAGTTGGCATTTCTGTGTTGAGTTTGCATGTTCTCCCCTTGTTCATGTGGGTTTCCTTTGTGTGCTCCGGTTTTCCCCACAAGTCCAAAGACATGTGCTGTGGGTGAATTGGGTAAGCTAAAATTGTCCATAGTGTATGTGTGTGAATGGAGGTGTATGGATGTTTTCCAGTGATGGGTTGCAGCTGGAAGGGCATCCGCTGCATAAAACATATGCTGGATGAGTTGGTGGTTCTTTCCGCTGTGGTGACCCCAGCCCAGAATAATAAAGGGATTAAGCTGAAAAGAAAATGAATGAATACTTTCCAATTATTTACTTAGGAATCAAGTATGCCAAAAAAGTAAAATAAAAATAGTTGAATGCTAAATTGAGTGATTTGTGTTGCAGTAAAATATTTATAACAGAGAGATTTTAAAAAATGAGTTTGCGTTAAAACATCCTGACTAAACTACCTTTTAAAACCCAGTTAATGCCGCACTTGAGTGATGATGCAATGAGACGCTGAAAAATGATGTGATAATTGCTAACAAGTGCGGATGGTTTGAGAGGCGCAATACCTAAAGCAACCTATAGAGGGAGTGGATGTGGCGACACATGTGGACCGACTGCTCAAGTTTTCAGTGGTACCCAGCGCTGACCGTTGGATGTCTTCTCCAAGAATGCTACTGTCCTAAAATAACACGTATTTGCTATGTAGAAAAAACAAACATCATGCTGGAGCGTGTCGTTTACAGGTATGATGACACACGGCAACAGTAGCCCTAGCAACAGCTCGTGTTTGTGGTGAAGCAGGCGGGAGTGTTTCTTTAAGAGCCAGCACCTTTACATCGAGAGGGAGGGGGAGAGAGAGAGAGGGAGAGAGATAGAGAGAGAGAGACTGGGATTGCCAATGGTTAGGTGTAACGTTTGCTCGCTCGGTGCCGTCGTTACATGTGTGAGGAAGAGGGAAAGGGGGGAGGCTGATAACTGGGCGAATTCGGCACCCGAAAGCGCTGCGCTCCGATGGGGTCGACGGGGATGAAATGATGATGATGATGATGATGATGATGATGTCTAGCGTTTACTCTCGACGATGACAACGGTGAGCGGTGCATATTTCAGCATCGCATGTATTTTCTTATATATGCATGTTTGTGTGCGTGTGTGTGTGTGTGATATCGCCCAGCTGTGGAGATGAGGAGGGGGATGGAGGACTTGGGAGGAGGGGGGCGAGGCGAAAGGATGCGAGGAAGGGGATAAAATAGCAACATTTGGAGAAATGACACGATGCGTTATTCATTCGACCAGTTCAAATGTAACCGTTTCTTTCGATGGCACGTCCAGTCGCGTATCTGCAGGAGAGAGACGGTACATATATATGATGGTGAAGCGAGGAATACGTCAACACATATAGGCTACATCCAGGCGAATCGCGAACGGAGCGGTGCTGATTTTTATCGTTCCCGTCCAAACGTTCACGTTAGTAGGGAATAAACAAGATCAGCGGCATCCAATTACGCACGGGTTCACTTTAAACGACACCCGTTTCTTCCTTCCTGCGTTTAGACAACGTCCATGGGCGCACAAAAAGCGCTGCCCGGCTCCATGGTCGTTACACACCATGAATTTCATTTCCGTGTATCATGCGCATCCATTAGCCTCATGACTAATAAGCTCTACAAAGCCGTATGTAGGGGAGCAAATAAGCGAATTAGGGATAAAAGCGGCGCGGTGTGGTGTTTGCAAACGGCAGCTGTCTATATTGAAGAGAATTTAGGTGTGTGTCGGTGAGAGAGAGAGAGAGGAGGGAGGCAGAGAGAGAGAGAGAGAGAGAGAGAGAGAGAGACGGATGGACGGACAGACAGGCAGGCAGACAAAACAATTGGAATTGGGTGTTGATTTGAATGTTCTGCATGACAGTCGCGGAAACGAGGTTACATTGTGTTCATTCTCCTCGACGTCGTTAACATTCAAGACAGCGAGTATTTAGCACGATTTGTGGCCTGTGTGAGGAATCACTGCCTCTATTGATCCTTCCAAATTCCTCTGTGTCGACATTCACTGGAACAGGACGCTCTTTCATGCTCTTCCCAGATTTCTGTGAGGGGGAAACCCGATGGTTTCAATGTTATTTTTAGTTTGATGCTCCGCAATGTGTCTGCCACCATCTAGTGCTGACTCCTGTGTCGAAGAACCGGGTGATTTCACTCCTAACTACACGTCTCTCACTCAATGCATGCACATGCACAGGAATAATCTGATGTTGATCAGAATATTGCCGATTTAGTTGTTATGTAAGGGTTGTTTGAACACATTTATTGTCAAAACAAAATTTAGTCCGCTTTTTGATTTCTAGAAATGTGAAGTATAGTTGACTTGAACTATTATAAGTAATGTTTTTTAGTAGGATTTTGCGAGTTCATAGGTTTTTGAGATCTAAAAAGAAAGATTTTACAAGTTTTGTGTGTGTTGTCAAAGCAAAATGCAACTAGTGAAACAAATAATGCTGTAAGTTGTGAGAAAAGCTGTCACCAGATGATTTTAGGATGTAGATATTTTAACAAATGTCCCTGCAAAATCTTTGAGGGACTGTTTTTTGCAGTTTTGTCGTATTTGGTTACACAAAGAACCTTTCAGTGAACTGTTCCTAAAATAAGCAGTTAGTGAATCACATTTCTTAGTGACCTAAGCAACTTTTTTCAGTTATGGGATGTAAATATTCCATGGATATTTCTGGTTCTTAAAGGAAACATCACAGTTGTTTTTAAGTGTTAAAGGGATAGTTCACCCAAAACTGAAAATTCTGTCATCATTCACTAACCCTTCAGTTTTTCCAAACCTGATTAACTTCTTCTTTTGGACACAATTAAGACACTTTAAAGTAAGCAATATAACCACTGCATCCATAGTATTTGTTGTTTGTCTACTATGGAAGTCAGTGGTTACAGGTTTTCAGCTTTCTTCAAAATATCTTCTTTTGTGTTCAACAGAAGAAACCTTTTAAGTGGACATTATATAAATTGTTTTGTCATTTAGAGTATTTATTACAGATCCAACCTTACTTTTTATTTGTTTTCCAAATACAAGCTTTTGGGCTTTTTTGATAGAAGGTGCTCAAAAGAATGCTGAGACATTGGATACTCTTTTTCTTGTCTAATGAAGATGTTATAAAATTAAAAGAAACATCACAGTCTCTATTTATTAGAGTCTCATGACCTACATTTTCAGCTTTTGTGTTATTGTGATATGAATGATATTTCCTGAGCTTATACATTGGGTATGCAGAGCTGGCGTTTTTCTTATATATCGATATGCTGGTTAATGTGACTTTTTCAAGTTTATACAGTTCTTTTTACAGCATCGGTGTTGTAATATGATTTAAATATAATCAGTTAAATAGACTTCAGTGTTCATTTAATTGTTCAAGTGTAAACCGTCATGAAAAGCCGTTTAATTGCATGTGCCTATCAGGATCAGCAGTCTAGCGCAGAAATGCCATTGGAAATACTGGAGTAAAATAAATTTAAATACATAGGGCAGAAAAATGTAATTTAATGCAGTGCTTCTTCTACATTCTAAGACTTAATTTTTAGCGGACATCATTTAGGCAGTGAAAAGTGTTGATTTGAATAGAAAATAGACCTTAAACAAGCCGATTTTGTGACGGCATAGAGTTCACCGGAAGTGCTTGATGCAGGTTACCGACAGATTAAAAGTCCTTCTGCATGCTTCTGCATATACCCTGTTACATTTGAAAATTACTGTAATTCATCATACACATTAAAAAATGGCACAAACAAACAGTGATGTGCAAATCTTGTATATTCAGGGTTAACCGATTAAATATACTATTAATTATTAGGCCGAAAACACTGAAGCACATTTAAATCTGTTTTCACAAGAAAGGAATAACCAGATTATTTTCCTTAATCAGAAAGTGACGTGCATGTAAATGTTACAGCTGTCAAGAAGGAGGTATTACATTTAAGCATTAGAGTTTTTTTTGTTATTCAGTGCTTTAAATTAGGATTTATAATCATACTATGTTTGAAAGATTTTGTATATGACAGCTGATGGTAACCCACCACCGTGTTTCAGATGTTACAACATTTAAAATCTGCATGAAAAGCATGTTTTTGCAGTTTTTCTATCAACTCTTGCTATCTGAATCCTTTTTGGTTTTGTTTACTTCTTATTTTCTTGTCTTGTCTGTCCCATTTGTGTCATGTCATCCCCCAAAAATGATCAATAAAGGCTTTATTGTAAAAAAAAGTATTAATACTTTCAAACCAAACATCAGTGTACATTCCAAGTCAAGTTAACTTGATTCAACTGTGATTCCACTGGATTTGATCATCTATAACGCTTGCTTTCTTCTCACCCAGCTTTGACCATATGAGCTAATGTCAACTCTCCTTTATTTCCCTCTCTAGCTCTCCTTTACTTGAAGTTCGAACCCATTGGGTAGAAGACTCTCCTCCATGCCCACCCTTCCTTTTACCCAATCCAGTCCCTGCGACCCTGCGACTTTCCCCACCTACTTTCTCCTGCCACTCTTGTCCCACCTGAAACCACACCCTGCTGCTTCACCCAAACGCACCCAAGCCAAGGATTTTGAACAGCACATACTAAGAGCCAATCAGGAGCCTTGAAGCCATTCAGGAAATAGCAACACAACTCATGAATCTACCTGAGCACTGAGGGGGGAAAATAACAAAAAAAAGGATAATAAACTCGCCAAGAAGACAACTGGAAGTACGTGTCCAGCTTTGAAGAAGAAGAGCACAGCGATTAGGAGATTCCAGAGGGTGAAAACAAACTGATACTTACTGAGAGACACGAAATAGAGGAAAACTAAACAACCGCATGCATAATATCTGCAATACTCCACACAACACAACATTACAGACTGTTACCTCACAACTGCACCACCCGAAAAACACCCGCATATGTTGACGAGTTGTTTATCTGTTTGCCGTAGATTCTCAGGCACGCAAAAAAACCACGGTCCCACACTGTGATCCTCGCTAATTCCTCTTTGCAGACTTGTAGGACCAACGCATACAGACACACGATAGCAGATAACACACACTCGCTCCTGTTCACGGCCTCAAGATGATGTGCGAGGTGATGCCCACCATCTCCGAGGACGGGCGGGGTGGTGCTGGAGGTGGCCCGTCCTCTCCTGCTGGAGGTGGTGGGGGTATGGGGGGCGGTGCAGGGGGCATGGGTGGTGGCTATGGTGGCAGGGAGGCCCGCGGCGGAGATGAAGGAGGGAGCACTGGAAACCTGGAGTCTCTGATGGTGAACATGCTGACGGAGAGAGAGCGGCTGCTGGAGAGTCTCCGAGAGACCCAGGAGAGTCTCGGCACGGCACAGCTACGTCTGCGAGAGCTGGGTCACGAGAAGGACTCGCTACAGAGGCAACTCTCCATCGCACTGCCACAGGTACGCTTTGGGGATTCGGCATGCATGTGTGTTTAAAAAGCTTGTTAGAAATATTTGTGGTGTTTGTATGATGTGCACTTTGTCTTCATGTGCCATGGGAAGACTGCTGGGGATGATTACAAGTTTGGCTATAACGTGCTTTAAAAGTATATCCAGAGTTCAGTGCAGGTTACATGCACTGTATAACCCCAAAAGTTAAGGTAACTCAAACCATTTGAGGAAACCGATTGCAACAAACCTTTTAAGTTCAAAAATTAATCCTAATGAGTACTGTCAACTTAATCCATTTGTGTAAATGAAGCAATTTGAGCAGTGAAACTCAATAAATGAAGGGAACTCAAACCAACTGAGTACTATAAAACCCAATAAGTTAAGGCAACTCAAACCATTTGAGGAAACCGATTGCAACAATCTATTTGAGTTAAACTAATCTATATGAGTACTGCAAACTTAATTAATTTAAATTGAAGTAATGAGGGACTTAATTAACTCATTACCTTCAACACAGAGTTCAAATCTCTTTTCAAATGAGTAGAATTCTCTTTCAGTCAATTTTAAGTTAACTACACTCATTTCATTTGATAAAGTTGATTGTTGGGTTTTACAGTGTGTTAGGTCAAATGAAAGGGGAAGACATATAGATCTGGATACAAATATACTTATGGCCATTTTTGGGTTGGCAATAGATACTAACCTTTCAGTAATGGTCCAAAAAGCGTTAGCTTTTAAAACTTTACTAGCAAGATGTCTCATTCTATTAAAGTGGAAACATGTCTCTCCAACCTCTTTTGATGCATGGATAAAAGAAGTGTTTAACTGCATGAAATCAGAAAAAATCACTTACTGGTTTGTTAAAGACGCTTGACAAGGTGTATTGTCCCTTTCTAGATTATCTGCTAGCTAACTCTCTTGATTTTTAAGCTGAGCAGTAATATATGAATACATATTTAATGTTCTTTTCTTTTTAACTTAATTATGTTTATTTAGCTTTTTTAATGGGAAGTTGGAGGCTGTTGATGGAGGGATGTGTTTATTTGGGGTAGTGTTAGCAACAACATGGACAGATAATTATAAAATGAATGTTGTGATTGATATTGCATGTAGAAAACCTAATCAAATAAATTTGAAATATTTACAGTGTAAAAAAAATAAATAAAATAAAAATAAAAAATAAATAAATTATATATATATATATATATATATATATTTCTCCCTTTTTTAAGAAATTGATTCTGTTCTTCAAGGCGGCATTTATTAAATGTTAAAACAAATAGTTAAATTGTTATATATTTCATACAATTTTAAAATAAATGCTTTCTTATTGTATGTAGTTTCAAATAAAATATTACCCAAGTCATTATTGCTTTTATTACATAATAATAAAATTAATATTAGTAATAATAACAATAATAATTAGTATCAGAGTGAATTCTGAAGGATCATGTGACTGTAATAATGAAGCTGGAAGTTCATCTTTAAAATCACTGGAATAAATGATTAAATTTAATGATCAACTACTATTAAAAAGTTATTTAATAGTGCAATATTTAAAAATCATTTAAAAATCCTACTGACCCCAAACTTTTGAGCGGTAGTGTATTTCCAGAAGAATGTGAAATAAAAAATATAACACAAATACTAAATGAGTTAATCTGTTCATAAGATTAAGAGCAGTGCATACTATATTTGTAATTTGTACTTATAAAATGATTTACAATCACCCATTTTTAAAATAACAGTATTCATATTTAATAATAATATATAAAAATATACAATAAAATCTGAGTAACATGAGGCATACAGAGTGTAAGTGAATGGAGCCTATAAAATTAACATGATACTTGTCCTAAGATTATTTTATTGTTAAAATGTAAGTATCTCAAATATTTGAAACTCAAATAATTCTTTAGAATGCATTCAGAAGTACATGCCATTGATGTTGCTTATTTTTTTACTATTATCCTGGCGACCTGTTTGCCATGACGTATATACTTTAGCGCATGATTTAAGTGTTAAAAATATTTACTTATATGCGTAAAGTTTTATTCAGTTTACAACATAGTTGCCCTGACTGTGCATTGCCCCGCTATAAAGTGATAGTTCCCTCAAAAATTGAAAATTTAATCATTATTTACTAGTGTTTTTTAATCCTTTATGATTTTATCAAAAGTAAGCAACTTGAACAGGTTTGGGTGAATTAACAGTGACAGAATTAGTGGTGAACTACCCCTTTAATAAAATATATGATTAAAAAAGGCAATGGCAATGTGCATTTTTGTGTTATTTTAACTTGTTTTTAGGTTTTATGAGATTCATGATAAGACATGTTGTCTGTTTACTGTAATAGAAGTTGAATTAAATTGAAATGTAAGATTCAAGACAGCAATTATTTTTACAGCGCATAAAAAGGTTTGAACAGTATAGTTGATGTAAGTGATTTGTATTTGAAGTGAAAAGTGTTTCACATTTCTTATTTTTTTTTAGAAATGGGCCTATTTCTTTTTCCATTGTAAGTTTCGCATTAGCTGGGTTTCCACCACTCTACTTTAATGCACCGTTGGATGAAAAATGAGTGATGGAAATGCCAAATTTAGAAAAATGAAATGGTGTTGGTCTTGTGCTTAAAATGTGAATAATGGGTAATGGAAATGTGTTTCCTAAGTAAGTTTTGATATAGAGAACATTACATCCATGTGACTAATCAGCTGCCTACATTATTCTTGCGTTGTTTACTGTTGGTTACTAGGTCACAGTCAACCACTCTAACAACATGATGGAAACACAGCTAAATCTGATTTGGGATTTTTCCCTTTTGTACAAACTTTGAATAGATTCCTGTTAGGATTGTGACATTGTGATGTTTCTGAGAATTAAATTTTTTGGTAACAATCATTATGCAAAAAATATGCAAATAATGCTGTCAACTGAGTTTAATGAGGAGGTAATTTACAGTGAACAAGATTGATTTTAATCAAACTTAAGTAGAAACACAAACATTTTGAAATTTAGTGCTATAAGACTACACAAAGCAGAGAAAAGGGGTTTTAACACCAACAATGTCTCATTTGAATACAAAAATACACAACTTCAATCTGTAAGATTATCAAAAGCCCCGAAATGTCAAATGTTCCATTGGATACAAGAAAATTAATCATTCTGGGTGCTGCTTTCACAGAATAGGAGTATGCTTTGTTCATTTATTTTTATAACACCACCACCAATATTTAAACAGTACAAAGCTGGTTGAAAATTGGCAGACTTATACTTCAACTTGTTTGTGGTATAGACTGTTCCTTTAAAGATGTCTTGTACTGAATAGTCTGTATAGGAAAACAGGTCATTGAGATGAAGCTCGTCTTCAGGAAGGATGAGCCAGAGAAGTGATGATGTCACACACAGACGCATGCAAAGAGTCTAGAAAGAGATGGTCAGAACCAAGCCTTGCTGCTTTGTATTTTTTCCTTTTGTCTGAAGTCAGCAGTCTACATTTATACCTGTCTGATTTGGCTTACATTCAAGCTAATCTGTATCTTTCAGACTTGCTGTGGGCTGTTCTGGTCTCTTTTTTTGCATTGGGTCTTGAACTGTTTTGTCTGTGATCTATTTCAAGGCACTCTACGTATCTTTTTGAGATGATGTGGTTATCAGCAAATCTGTGACCTGTTTTACATGTCGAGACGCTACTTTTGATTATTGAACAGCATAATCCTTTTGCAGTGCTGTTTGATTTGGGAGATTTTGTCAAATGATGAGTTTGAACACTTTAATGACATTATAGAAGCTTAACGTGAGCTTGACCTATGCATAAATACATTCGGTGTTGCCATTGTATATTGAGGTCAGAACAGTATTAAAATTAAAATAAATACATGATCTTAAATAGCAATTCACAAAAAAGTCATGCTTTTATATTCACAAACAGATCGTTGAATCTGCATTTGCAAATCTTCATTATCATCTTGTAAGATTCCATTCTATCAGCCCAATGACAAAATTTGATGAATGGTCAAAGGTTAAGTGCATGGAAGCCTTTTAAGTGCTTCTGAAAAGAATTGTGCTATTTATTAGAATTTATTTATATATATATTTTTAGCTCCGCGTTCAATCTCACTCCAGTTTTAAGTGACGGTCAGATTTAGACTGTATTTCTAACTAGGAATGGGTGACTTTTGTCAATGGGTTTTGATATTCTTAATTGTACGTTTATTAGGGACCAAAACGCTGCTTATAGTTCCACGCCAGATCGTGTATCTTCTCACAGACATTATCTCGACACTCTGAAGTTAGTTCGAGGATGTAAGGTTAACTAATACTCTGGTTGCCTCTTTCTTACTCATACTAAAGGGTAGCTAATTTAGTCATTTTTCATACAACTTGCTAATATCAGTGATTAAACGATTAAAAGGTCTTCATGCTGTCGTGCCACACTGCTCCGTACAGTCAAATGCGCCTTAAAAATTGATAAAGTCATGTCACAACATAATAGTAGTGCAGAGTCCACTTAATCTACTGAATACAATGTATTCGGAAGAATCTAGAATTAATCAAAAAGGTTAACATTTATTTTCCAGATATCATGCCAATTACAGAATCAAACAATAAAAGCCAATTCAGAACTAAATGCACAACATCAATTACTCAAAGATGAATCTAAGAGTGTAGATGGAAATCCAAATTATACATAGTGTTGAGCTTGAGAGCTCTTTACTACAGGCCGGTTTGGATACGACTTGCGACAATGCCCGAGACATTTCGACCTTCTCTTTAAATACTCTTGGAGAGCAATGAAAGGTTATTTTGTTAAAGTTAACCAGTGACTTTTACTCATCTGTTGATTTACTCAGCTGTTGGGATTTAATCTAAATTTATCAAAGATAGTGAACAAAACCTTGTTAGTCACACCTGAGTATTTATCAATAGCAGAGCAAATGAAAGTTTGGGAAAGAGGGCAAAAAGGTGTCAAAGTCTATCCTGGGCCTTTTTCTTCAGATTGCAGAGTT